TTCATTGTCGGAAGGCGGCGACGCCCGACGACAGCATGCGGCCCCTGTTGACGCCGCTCAAGCTTGCCGAAGCTGGATTTGGCACGCCGGCTACGCAGACTGCCATGTGCACCGACATGGTCAAGACGAAGATCAGCATCCTCGCCCAGGGCAGCGAGGAGTTCTTGACGCAGGATATATTGCGGCTTGCGTCGACGGTGCCGTCGTGGACCTCTCAGGCGGCGCAGTCCGACATGGGCGCCCTGGCGACCGCGCTTGGCTTGCTGATGGAGGGCGCGATGCCAGGCGACGTCGGCATCGAGGCCCGCTGGGGGCGCCACGCAGGCCATCATGCAGAGTCGTTGGCCCATGGCTGGCTCAGTAGCGCAGTGGCCGTCTGCCAAAAAGGTCTTGCGCGACGCGGAGGGCGCCTTGAAGGCTTTCTCGACGGGGCACGAGTTGTCGAAGAAGTTGCAGGGTCTGCTCCGCCTGGCGCATGATTGTGCTGTGCAGGACGCAGCGGGGGGCATGGATGCCCGCTCACGTTTCGCCAGCACTGTGGCCCATTTGAATGGGATATCGGCGGCCCTGGAGATGTCGACCCCGTTGTCCCAGCGGCGCTTCACCGCCGGCGCTGTGGAGGCGCCCCTGCAGGACTACTGCGCGGTCGCTGGGGACTTGGTCTGGGACATTTATAAGGACTGCCTTGGAGGCGGAGGAGGAGGGCGCGGAGGTGGAGGAGGCGAGGGGATGGTGGGGGTGGGGGAGTAGGAGGACGGACAGGCACGGCGTGAAAGGTGGCGGGATTTAGGAGGAGCTACAGGATACAGGGCGAGGCCGATCAGACAGAGGAGACGGTTTCAGGAGCAGCTGGAAGAGGACACGGAGCAGCAGCAGGGGTCTCCGTGTGTCGTTATTGCCAGTTGTTGTCTCCAGGAGCTCATTGACCGCGCCATCGGATGGACGGACAGACCCTTCGACGAGAAGCATTGGGAGGACCAGGACCTTGCTCAGAGCGTGCAGCTTGTGAGGGACATGCTTGCAGCCCTGGAGAGGGTGCCAAAAATGTCTGACAGGATGAAGACGGTAACGCTCGAGGGTTACAACGACACGGTTGTTCTCGCTGATGCAGCACAGGGCCCCCCTGAAGATTTTTGCCAACTACTCGGACCCAGCGACCACCATTGCCCAGGTGCCTGAGTTCCTGGCGGTCACTCGCAAGGAGATCTCCGACGGGCTTGGCGCTTTCTGGGATGAGCACCCCATCGCCCAGTCCGCCGATTCTTTCCTCGCAAAAATCGAGTCGATGGAGGCGTTCACCGAAATCAAGGCAAAGCTGGCCAAGCGGCTGACCGAGCGCATTCAGATGCTTGTTCGGCTAACCAATGGTGCGATCTTCGGTAACTTCCCGCGCGATGCATTCTGGGCCGAGCGGTGGATCGACACTATCTGCACCCCTGACGACATCACCGACCAGGCGTTCTTGATCTGCGGCACCGGGTACGAAGCTGGCTTCACGCAGGACGCCGTGAAGGCGTTCGAGGATGCGTCGGAGGCGGCGCGGTATGCCGACACGATGTTTCAATGGCAGGTCGGCGCCATCACGAACATTGCCAGGGTGTGGCTCGTCGGCGTTCCCTTCCTGAAGTGCAAGATGGACTTCGACGAGGCGGCCGCCAAGGCGTGGCGGGGCGGCCAGGATGCGCTGAACAAGCTAGTCATGTTCGTCGATCATGTTCCGCACGCACGAGAGCTCCTCCGGCATGGCGTTTTCCGACTGGGACGCGGGCGTCAAACCCAGGGAGGAGAGCAGCGGGAGGGGAGCGGGAGGAGCTGTTACAGGAGGGCAGGGCGCGGGCGGTGAAGGGGGCGCGGCGGGATCAGGGCAGGTCTCGCTTCAGGGCGGGGGGTCTCGCTTCGGGGCGGGGCGGCAGTTGGGCAACAGATGTGATCGCGCCAGTGTTGGGAGTGGTTTTAAGGCCTCAACCGAACTCCTCGACATGAAACGGCCCTGGGAAGCCCGACGTCCTTTTTGGGCGAGGTGGGGTCTGAGCACAACCCCCCCCCCCTTCCGCTCCGCCGCCCCCCCCCCTCCCCATCACCCCCCTCGTCCTCCGTATCTTCGATTCTGCCCATCCCTTGTCCTGCCCCTCCCCTACTCCCAGTCCTGCTGCTCTCCTCCAGCCTTCCCCTTCTCCGCCTCGCTTACCTCCTCGAACTCTCGTCCCTGGCCATCGCACTCAGCCCCCATTTGCGCCCCGCGCGACCCCCCCCCCCCACCCCTATCCCGATAGGACTTCAACAGCGCCGTGATCGTTAGAACATAGAGACGTGCTTCGAAAAGGCGGGGGCGTCGCCCATCGGCATCTTTGAGGGCTCGCCCATCGCGCGCGGCATTCGCGACGCGCTGGTCTCCATGAACAACGCGCTGCTTGAGGCGAGGGAGCGCTGGGTATCAGGCTTCAAGCAGGCGCGCGAGCACATCGCCGACTGGTCGCCGAGTTGGCGGCCAGTACAAGAGATGCTCCTTGCGAGGCCGCCTCATCCGATGACCAAGGAACTGGTGAGCAACAAGAACCTCAAGCAAATGGGCGCCCTTTGCACTGACCTGGGCCACCGCCCCAAGGTCGCCCGCCGCGCTCCAGGGACCTTGGAGACGCAGGACTTGTCCTCGTGGGAATCGCGCGCGCACGAGGGCATGGTTACAAGATCGCTGTCGTTTGTTATTTTTCAAGGAAACACGCTCTCAACCAGCTGAAGGGGGCCCAAGAAGCTCAAGGCAGTTGGGCAACCTCTAACCTTTGAGCAGGTGTGGACGATATAATGATGGACAGCGCCAGGAGATGCACGACCAGGATGGTGATCGTTGCAGTGAGGATCTGGAGGATGGTGAAACGGAGGAGGAGGTGGATGGGGGCGAGGAGGAGCGACGGCCGACGTGGAGCACACTCGGCGCCGAGGATGTGGGGCGGGGGGTCGGGGAGGGCGGGGGAGCAGGGGGGGGGGAGAGAAGGATGAGACTGCCTTGGTGGATGCGACCCCCCCCTGATGTTCCTGCCAGGGCTGCGGCCGAGAAGCTCAAGTTGGAGCTCGCAACGAAGGGCGTGTGGTCCGAGATGCCCGCTTGCGTGACTACGTCGCTCGAGAGCGGCGGCCGCGTCCTCGAAATCGCTGAGGACGAGGTTCCCAACGACGCGTTTGCGCCCCCCTGCAGCCGGCGGCGCTGCCGCGGCGGCCGGAAGCGGCCCCGGCGGGGCGGCTGGCGGCGCGAGCGGCCCCAGCGGGGCGGCCGGCGGCGGGTCGCGAGGCAGTCTCAGCAGCCAGCGGCGGAGGGGGATGACAGGGTGGATGAGGATGGCGGTGGAGATGAGGCGGCGGCGAAGGAGGCGGAGGAAGGAGGGGCGGATCCATCTCGTGCCTGCTGTTTGGGGTTTCCTTATCGCCGTGCCGCCCGCCTGGCGGCACTCGCGGTCTTTCTTTTGACCGCCTCGGCGCAGGGCACCCCTGGCGCGCGCGCGCGGTGAAACAGCGCGGGGGGTGGGGGGGCTGCTCCACTCCTCCTCCTCCTTTCGGTTCTTCTTCGGTTGCCAGCCCCTCTTCCTCCTGCCTTTTTCTGGAACGCCCCTCCGTCCTTCGCTCTCCTGCGCCGCCTCCACCAGCTACCACCCCTGCCCTAACCCTGACTGGCTTGGACAGGGGTGTCAGGCGCCTGGGGAGTCACAGGCCCGAGGGGATCCGCGGGCTTGCGACGTCCCAGGCTCGTTCGGGTGAACTGCGCTCGCGCGTGCAGGATTCGATGTTCGCGCATTTTTTGAATTTTCTGTATTTCCCAACCATCCTGTGGTGTTGGGTCCTCGTTTTGAAGAGACGTCGCCCCGCGTTCCTTCCTTCCCGCTGCCCCCTCCCTCCTCCCATCTTCATCATCATCGTCATCACCCATTTCGGCACACCCCTCACACGTTTCGTGGCCCCATAGGGAGCTCCACCGAAGGTCCCAGTGGGTGTGCCCGCATGCGTCCCGCACACCCATTTCGGCACACCCCTCACACGTTTCGTGGCCCCATAGGGAGCTCCACCGAAGGTCTCAGTGGGTGTGCCCGCATGCGTCCCGCACACCCATTTCGGCACACCCCTCACACGTTTCGTGGCCCCATAGGGAGCTCCACCGAAGGTCCCAGTGGGTGTGCCCGCATGCGTCCCGCACACCCATTTTGGCACACCCTTCACACGTTCCGTGGCCCCATAGGGAGCTCCACCGAAGGTCCCAGTGGGTGTGCCCGCATGCGTCCCGCACACCCATTTCGGCACACCCCTCACACGTTTCGTGGCCCCATAGGGAGCTCCTCCGAAGGTCCCAGTGGGTGTGCCCGCATGCGTCCCGCACGCCCAATTCGGCACACCCCTCACACGTTTCGTTGCCCCATAGGGAGCTCCACCGAAGGTCCCAGTGGGTGTGCCCGCATGCGTCCCGCACACCCATTTCGGTACACCCTTCATACGTTTCGTGGCCCCATAGGGAGCTCCACCGAAGGTCCCAGTGGGTGTGCCCGCATGCGTCCCGCACACCCATTTCGGCACACCCCTCACACGTTTCGTGGCCCCATAGGGAGCTCCACCGAAGGTCCCAGTGGGTGTGCCCGCATGCGTCCCGCACACTCATTTTGGCACCAGCACTAAACCACACATCCAACACATCAAAGGCACACCCCCTCGGGAACATACTGTCAATGCACGCCCAGGCGACCGAAACGTTTCGTGGCCCCATAGGGAGCTCCACCGAAGGTCCCAGTGGGTGTCCCGCATGCGTCCGCCACACCCATTTCGGCACAACACCCTTCACACGTTTTCGTTGCCCATAGGGAGCTCCACCGAAGGTCCCAGTGGGTGTGCCCGCATGCGTCCCGCACACCCATTTCGGCACACCCCTCACACGTTTCGTGGCCCCATAGGGAGCTCCACCGAAGGTCCCAGTGGGTGTGCCCGCATGCGTCCCGCACACCATTTCGGCACACCCCTCACACGTTTCGTGGCCCCATAGGGAGCTCCACCGAAGGTCCCAGTGGGTGTGCCCGCATGCGTCCCGCACACCCATTTCGGCACACCCCTCACACGTTCCGTGGCCCCATAGGGAGCTCCACCGAAGGTCCCAGTGGTGTGCCCGCATGCGTCCCGTCGTCTCTCTGCCCAGCGGCAAGAGCCTTGCCCGCTATCAGCCAGCCAGCTAGCTCTTTTTGCTCCGCGCAGTGGACGACCCGCGCGCGTCGCTGGGACCCCTCCGGGGCGACCTGCGCGCGTCGCGGGGACTCCGCGCTGCGCTGCGCCCGCAACCTTGGACTTTTGAGTGCGCGGGCAAAGAGGGAGTAAAGGAAGGGGAGGAAGCGGGCGCGATCCTCGCCGGTGGGCGCGCCGACATTGGCGTCGCGGCGCGCGGGCGATGCCGTCGGGGAGTCCCGGGGAAGCTCCTTGCGGCGGCCACGCCCAGCGTCACGAGTACTCAGAGGCAGACATTGTCAAACTATTGACATTCATACACAATTGCGCCACGCTTTGTCATATTCGCATTCATGCACGTAGACTCGTTCGCACGCAGATTCATTCACAGTCAGACGCACGCGCGCAGATTCACCCGCGCTCAGTCTCCCTACGTACTCAGATCAATCGTTTTCGTTCGCGTTGTGTACCACGCCACTCATGTCGGCACACCCCTAGCACGGTTCGTTGCCTCATAGGGATCGCCACCGAAAAAGTGAATCACTATTGCGGTACTCACACCTGTATATGGTTGGGTCCCTCGTCAGGCTAATTTTTTTCAGAATTTCGTGTAATTATATGTTGGGCATATCCGAATTATTTGTTGGGGGCACGGGGGCTAGTTCTCGGTGGGCTTAGCTTGTCGTTCCCTGGGGCCGCTCAACACATGCGCATGCGTCCCGCACGCCCATTTCGGCACACCGCTGACAGGTTCCGTGGCCCCATCATCTTCGGAGGCCTCAGTGGCGGCGCTCACATGCGTCACCCACACCCGCCCAATTCGGCACACCCCTCACACGTTTCGTGGCCCCATAGGGAGCTCGACCGAAGGCCCCAGCGGCCGCGTTCACATGCGCCCCCGCCACCCATCCCGGCACGCCCCTCACAACAACAGGTTTCGTGGCCCCATAGGGAGCTCCACCGAAGGCCCCAGTGGCACCGCCCGCATGCGTCACCACCCGCACCCAATTCGGCACACCCCTCACACGTTTCGTGGCCCCATAGAGAGCTGCACCGAAGGCCCCAGTGGCGGCGCTCACATGCGTCCCCGCCACACATCCCAGTACACCCCTCACGCGCTTCGTGGCCCCATAGGGAGCTCCACCGAAGGCCCCAGTAGCGGCGCTTACATGCGCCTCCGCCACCCATCCCGGCCCCCCCCCCCCGCAGCAGCATCATGTTTCGGGGACCCATAGGGAGCTCCACTGGAGGCCCCACTGGCGGCCCTCACATGCGTATCCGCCACCCATGTCGGCGCGCCCCGCGCGTGTTTCATGTCCCCATAGGGAGCTTCGCCGAATGCCCCAGTGGCACCCATGTCGGCACACCCCTCACACGTTGCGTAGTCCTATGGGGAGTTCTACTGAAGATGAAACCCGCAGCTGCGGTACTGACAACTGCATATGGTTGGGTTCTTCGCCAGGCTAATTTTCATTTTTCACCCAGAAGCTCTGTAGGGGGACAGGC